ACCAGGGGGTGCGTCCACATACGTCCTAGGCATTCATTTCGGCACCCCGCTCACACGGTCCGTCTCATCTCCCTCGCGGTACTCGCAGCTGCATATGGTTGGGTCCTTCGTCAGGCTAATGGACCAGTTGCGTCTTTGTTTTCATTTTTCCGCCAAAATCTGTCTGTATGGGGGCCATGCCCGCCCTAAGGCAGGTGTGGAGCGATGCCCGATATCGGAAAGCGGCGTGGCGCGACCCAGAAACCAAGGCTCGCGGCGTCGCGACGTGAGCTTGGCGCACATGCGCAGGGCCAGGAGCAGGACCTCAGGAAGCTGCACATGGGCCCATGCGCGTGTGCAAAAGAAGGCATGCGCATAGGCGTACGTCCGCGTGCGTGTGCGCATTCGGGTGCGTTGTGGGCGTGTGTTGTGCATGCGCACGCGACGAGTTTGTCAAAGTGAGCATATCCTGCAGATCGCCAGCAATTTGACTCCTCATTCCTCGGCCGAGAACCGAGGCCGTGTGCCTGGAGCAGCTGGAGGCTGGCCAGGGTTGTTGCCGCCCGCCGTGCCTCCACGCGTTCCATGGTGATTGTCTGCGCGAGTGGGCCGGCCACAGCCAGACGTGCCCCGTGTGCAAGCTGGACCTGGAGGAGGAGGAAGAGCAGGAGCAGGAGCAGGAGCAGGAGCCGGAGCAGGAGCATGAGCAGGAGCAGGAGCAGGAGCCGGAGCAGGAGCAAGAGCAGGAGCAGGAGCAGGAGCAGGAGGAGGAGGACGAGGAGCAGGATGAGGAGGAGGAGGAGGAGGAGGAGCAGGAGGAGGAGGAGGAGGAAGAGGAGGAACATTAGCAGAGCAAGAGCAGGAGCAGGAGCAGGAGCAGGAGGAGGTGGCCTTCTTCCGCTGTCTCGCCGTGCGGTCGCTCCCCTGTTACCCTACCGCTATGCTCGAGCGTGCTGCTGCCCTGCAGGAGGTGTGTTCCGCCCCCCCCCCTCCCCGGCGAAGGCCAGAGGAGGGAGGAGGAGGAGGAGGAGGAGGAGGAGGAGGAGGACGAGTAGGAGAAGGAGAAGGAGGAGAAAGAGGAGGAGAAAGAGGAGGAGGAGGAGGAGGAGGAGGGAGGAGGGAGGAGGGAATAAGACCGATTACAACCACTTCGGACTGTTCAGGAACTACGTCGGTCGGATTGCAACCACTGGAAACGGACTGATCGCAACCTAAAGGATTCCTATACAAACCTTTCTGAAGAACACCGGATTGCAACCGATCCAAGAACTTCTGTTGAGCTCAAAACACCTCCCTGAGAGGCCTCTGAAAAGCTTCTGACAGGCCTCTGAGAGGCCTCCCAGAAGCCTCATCGAGGCCTTTTCAAAGGCTTCTCTGAAGCCTGTTTTAAGAGGTTTCTCTGAAGTTTCCGAAATGTTAATGATGATACTGTTGATGGTGAGGAGGAGAGGGGAGGGAGGAGGAGGAGGAGAGGGGAGGGAGGAGGGAGGAGGGAGAGTGGCGGGGGAGGCAGAAAGAGGGAGGACGACAAGGAGGGCGGGCGAAGGAGCAAGGATGGTGAGGAGGAGGAGGAGGATGAGGAGGGCGAGGCAGAGGAGGAGGGAGGAAGGAGGAGGATGAGGATGATGATGAGGAAGGGGCCGTGATGACGAGTTCTGAGGGCTTCCCAATCGACGGAGAGTCCCGCGAAGAGGCTCCGCATGTGCTCTTATCATTCGTCCAACGGCTCCTCGTCCACCCCTCCCTCCGAGAAGTCTTTTCGTCCTGAGATGTTTTGTTCCTGGTTGCGTTGCGCTAGAGGGTTCAAATCGTGGTCACGAAGGGCCCCAATGTTTTCAAAGGCCCCGCGCGTCCCACGGGTCGCTCCACAGTTCCCACCGGTCGCACAAGTCCCAAGGACCCCGCCGTTCCCGCATGCCCCGAAACCCCAACAGGTCCCACAGGTCCTGCGTGTCGCACGGGCGCCAAAGGTCTCGCAGGCCGCGCAGGGCGCACATGTCCCCCAGCCATCGTTCCCACAACCACCACGGGCCCAGACCGCCTGGCGTCGTGACAACATCTGTTTTCGTTTCGGGTTCCGGGGGCCATCGCCGGGCCCAGAGACCGTCCAAAAGTGATTCAGTATGCAATGCTGGTCTACTGTAGGTTCATGCGGCCTGGCACGCCGGCGACGCTGGCGAAGGCGTTCAAGGCTGCATTCTGCGACGCGGAAGCACCGAGGGACACGGTGGGGCCATTGCACCCGACGAAATTCAACCTTGAACGATCGGGGCCGCGATCGGTTCAAGGTTGAACGATCGACGCGGTACCAAAAGCCTTGCGAGCGCCGACGCCGCACGAACCTACCGCAGGGGAAATCGTCCAGACCTCTGGGGGTCGACGTTTTGGAAAAGTCATGTCGTTGGGGGTCTGGGCCGCCGCGTCTACCCGCCTTGCCATCTTGTCCTCTTCCTAGCCATGGCGCCAGGCGACAAGTTGTGGACCCGCTGCCCCTCGCGCCAGCAGTGTGATTACAACGATCATTTGGCAAAGAATATATATATATATGTGTATGCGCAGGCTTTGGAGACAAGCTGCAACTCTTCAAGCCGAAGGCGACACGTAGACCCAGAGTTCAGTTTCAGGATGTGCAAGAGGAGGTCCAGCTGGCGCATCCAAATCCTCCGACGCACGCGCACTGCCTCGCCAGCCAACGGCCCCGGGGCCGGCAGAGGCGCGCGCGGCGGTCGCGGCGCCAGAACGCCGCCGCGGCGCGAGGTGCAGAGCGAGGAGGACGACACCGACATTGGGGTGACCTCGCTCCTGCAGCGCGCGATGGCGGCCACCAAGAACACCGAGTTGAAGGTCGAGAAGCTCGAGCAAGAGAGCGAGGGCACCAAGCAGCAGGAGACTTCGGTCACAGAGCAGTTGCGCCGCGCTGATGGAGTCTTTCGGGGTGCTGATCATAAGCACAACCAAGCAGCATCCAATGTGCCGCGCCTTCGCCAGTCGCTGGAGCAGGCGGAGGCGAAGGAGATCGAGACGGCGAAGGCGCTGGCGCGAGCAGCCCTCGCCAAGAAGGCGGTCGTTGCAGATGTCGCCCATGCTGAAAAGTTGGACGCTCTGTGGCAGAGGGCTCCAACGCAGCCGACAGCGAGCGGCGCACCTTCAAGGTCACGTGGGACCACGACTTTTTCAGCGAGATTGACGAGTTGGAGTGCGGCGAGGCAGAGCGCGAGGGTTTCCACGAGATCCACCAGCGCCTCCTCGCGACGGAGAAGGAGAAGTCGCCCCGGGAGATTGAGGCGCGGGGCTGGCTGAACCGCGCGGAAGAGTACAAGCGCCTGATCACGGAGCGCCTCGCCAAGAAGCGCAAGGTCGCAACCGCTGGCCAGGCCGACTCTGCCCCCGCCGCCACCCCTGGCGGCGCGGGCGACGGCGGTGGGTCGAGCGCCGAGGGCGCCACCCCCGTCAATGCCGACGGCGAGCCTGAGTCGGCCACCGCTGCAGCGACTGCGACGGCGCAGGTGAAGGCCGAGGTCGCAGCAGAGGCGAAGCGTCTGCTCGAGGCCAAGTTCCTGGCACAGCAGGCCGCGACGGCCGCGAGGGCAGGCAAACGGGAGGGCGCTGAGCCAGCTGGCGATCAGGCCCCCAAGGCGGGATCTTGACTAGCCACGGCGGCGCATGATGCTAAGCAGGGGGGCGCCGACCAATCCCGCGCCGCCCAGGCAGGCGCCTCCGAGGAGGCCCTGGGGGAAGAGAGTGCCACTACGCGACTCTTGTAATCAAACGTCACACGCATGGGGGACGAGTCCTGGTCCCAGGCCACCTCGCAGACTCAGGTATACGATTACTTTGCGCTCGCAGAGACTCACATCCACACAGAGCCCACGCTGCGCTCGCACGACAAGAAGGCTCGCTCGGCAGGGCCAACGCCGCCCGCCCAGCCTTTCGGAAGGTTGCAGCCCAGCAGGCTGAACACGCCACCAGGGGAGGTGAATTTCTTTTCTTCGCGAGGGCATCTTCAATATCATCGCCTCGGAGTCGTCGAGTCAGCACGATGCAAGTTAGCTACACCAGGCCATGCTAAGTCTCACGACGGGATCACGGCTATGGTTATATATATATATATATATGTGTCAGCTTCGGAGCTTCCTGAGGAGGCCCAGCGGTTTCCCCCTTCTCGCCGCCGCACTCTGAGACCTGGGCGTCGCTTCGCCCCGGGCGGTCTCGCCAGGTCTTGGGCCCCAGGGCCCCCACAGCTGGATCTGGCAATGGAGAAGTGCCGCAGAAGCACGGGGTCCAGCCGGACGGAGCCAGGACGAGGGTGAATCCGTTCCAGAGCGTTTCGGAACGCTTTCAGCGCGTTTCGGAACGCCCTGAGAAGGCCGCGGCGCCCGAGACATCCTCCAGAGCCGCCGGATCTCAGAGATCCCCGATTCATCTCCACCCGATGCTATCCTCGTCCTGGCCTCGTCTCCCCTGGGGCCCCCCTCGTGCCTTCCCTCCTGTGCTGCATTCCTGCTCGCGACGTCGCACCTCACGGCCGCTGGCGCCCCAGCCCCCGACCGAGCCCCGGCCTCGGACTCGGGCTCGACCGAGCCCCCGACCGAGCCCTCCGACCCAGCTCCCGGCCCCCGACCCCGCCCTCCGACCGACCTCGCGCGCGCCGCCGGCGTCAGGACCTGGGCGCCCCGGCCCCCGACCGGGAGCTGCGCTTCCGGCCACCCGCCCGGCTGCCCGGCGGAGCCGCCCCGGGCGCTCGGATCTCGCCGCGGAGGGGCCGGCCGCACGCAGGAGGAGGAGGAGGAGGAGGAGGAGGAGGAGGAGGAGGAGGAGGGGGAGGAGGGGGAGGAGGAGGGGGAGGAGGAGGAGGCCGGGAGGGGGAGCGGGGAAGGCGTCTTGGAAGCACCCTTGCGTCTCACAGGAGGCGCGGGCGGTGCCTGCAGATGGGAGGCCCGCGCCTTCTGAGAAGCAGCCTCCTTCCAAGAAGCCTGCCCCCTCCCCCCTACCCTTCAGTCAGACCTGCCCCTCTGCAGGAGGAATATTCAAGAATAGTAAAAAGATAGTCTGGGGACGATGTTTTGACTAATTTTGACCAGTTTGAGGCATTGTTGGAGAATCGTTTACCTTGCGCCCAAAATCTGTCTGTAGGAGGACATGCCCGACCTAACCCTACCCCCTTTGTGCGCGCCCCCAAGCATCGGCGGTCAGCCCGGGGGGGGAACCGAAGAACACAGAACGGCATAATCATCAGCTTTCGACGGTCCGCGCGCAGTTCTTGGATCTGCGCTGGAGCCCGCAGGCGGCGCCTTCGGCGCCGCCCCTGGCGCTGAAAGAGTGGGGCGGGCCTTCTCAGAAAGCTCAGAGGTCCCGGAAGCCATGGTGGTGGACCGTGCGGTGACCTCGAGATTCATGTTGCCCCCAACGCACTTCAGGACCACATCCCAGAAACAATTTCGAGCACCCGGACAAGTGTCGAAACAGCGTCGAAACAGTGTCGGACGAGTGTCTCCCAGGGCCCGACACGTGAAAACCCTCTCGAGTTTCGGTATTCTTCTTGGTGCTAAAGTAGGCTACAGTATTAAGTCGGGCCTGTCCCTCTACAGGAGGAAGATTCAAAAATAGTCTGGGGACTAGTTCTTGAGTACTTTTTGGCAATTTGGGAGCATCTTTTGAGTATTTGTTTTGATTTCTCGTCCAAAATCCCCCTGTAGGGGGACACGCCGGACATACCCTTCGGGGAACGGATCTCGGGAGATTCTGCACGGATCTTGGGCTCCGGAGGCCGTTCCTGGGCCCGCCAAGGTCGGGAGGGGGAGAAAAACACACACACACACACAAAAAAAAAAACATAGACACAGCGAATCGTCGATCCCCAGGAAAAAAGATGGGAGAATATGGGCAGGGGGGGGCGACCGAAACCCAGAAATGATGGAAACAGATCGGGAACCTCGGGGTTTGTGTCTATTTGTTTGTGCGCCCTTGGGCCCCATTCACAAGAGGCGGCTGGGTCCAGAGGACCCGCTTCCCCCGGGACCTGTTTTTCTTTCATGCCAAGGATCGATCGGGCCTCCGCGTCCATGGGGAGGCCGGCTGAGGCGAGGGCCCAGGCGAGAGGTGCCCCGGCAAGGCGAGATGTGCGCTGCTTCTCGGCCATCGAGGATAGACGGTCGGGAAGAGTTCGGTATGGTGTGGCCCGAATGTGGCATAAGGACGCCTCTAGGGACCTCCGAAGCTTTCAGATCTCGCGTCTCGCAGGACCCGTGACACTCGGGTTGATCTCGGTTCAGGAGGGAAAAGAACCCAGACGCAATGAATCGTCGATTCCCCAGAGAATGCGGAAAAGATGGGAAGTGGAGGGTAAGACGAACATCCAGGAAATATGGAAAATCCGGGGGATCTTGGGATGTGTGTCTATCTGCTGGTGCGTCCATTGGCCCCTTCGTCAGCTCGAGTCGCCCACGAGCGACTCGGGATGAAGAAAGTCGGCCAGTGCCCCCTGGCAAGAGTCGAGAGCCCACAGCCAACGTCACGCACAAAGCATAACATCAGTGGGCGGGCGTTGTGTTGGCCTTGACACCGCTCGGACATGTGCATTCTTCCTCGGCGCGGACCATCGAGGAGAATTTGAGGTCCTCTCGCGAAAAAGGCATGCACGAGACCGAAAAATGTACGGGGAAAAAACGTCCGAGGGATGGCGAGTGGCGGCGCTGGACAACCCAGACCTCCACGCATCGCGGCAAAACAACGGGCGCTGTCCTTTTATGACGTCGGTTTCACGGGGGGGGAGGGTGGGGAGGGGGGCTTTCTCGGACCCGGCACGCAAAAGAAGTCCCCAGGGTGGGGCCGAGAATTCCGGAGTCCTACACCGTTGAACGAGACACGACGTCGGGGGTTTGGGAATGAATCGTTGGATCACGCGTCAAGGTCCTGGCCTTTGATCGGTGGCGTCTGCCAGAAACTCGCGGGCCACCTGCTTATTTCTCGCCCTGGCAGAATCGGGAATACCTCAGGGTCATGCCCTCGAGAGCAAGTTGTTCCTCGACGCCTCCGCCGTGTCTAAGGTCTTGCGCAATGAGTCGCAGCGAGCACTGCGGCGCGCATGCACGCACGCCTTTGCCGTGAGCAGATGCGCGCAGGCGCGCGGGCGTGGGCCTGCGAGCGCGGCCATCCAGGCAGCATCGGCTGCGTAGTCCCTTCACGCCTCACATCGGCCGTCCTTCGCTGCCCGCCAAGTATACTCGCTTGTTCTATCAACGTTCATCGCTGTCGGGTGTCTCACGGACGGGTCTGGCACTAGCGAGCACACCAGGATCGAAGAAGAGAGCTGTAAGGATCGATTTCCAAGCAGGTTCTGGACCAGCGTCGGACTCATCCTCGGAGATACGTGTTCTGATGTGTTTGCCATATTCGTGATGCTTTCTGGCTCGACGGCATGACTTGGCGAATATCAACCGCGTTCTTCAAGCGAGGATAAGCCATGATATTCTTTCGAGTTCGGCAGATGCGGAGTCGTTTCGGTTGCGACGCGAACGGCAATCGAGATCGATCCAGTCTGAGTGACCGATGAATAACTTCTGAGGCTAGCGGATATCAAGAGCTTGACTGCTCCAGAGCTGCGCTATCTTGCGGCGTATTTGGGCATGACAGTGGACAGGGGCGTCGAGCGCGACGAGCTGGAACTCGCGCTCATCGGGAATGCTCGTGTACGGGTGGTGTGCTGCCAGGATGAGCTCATCGCCCTGCCAGTGGCCAGGCTGAGCCAGTTCCTCCAGACCACGAGGGTGAAGAAGACCGCCCAGCACGTCGAGAAGGTCGGGCGGGCGGGTGGCGGGGGGGGGACCCGCACGGGGGGGGGCGCGCAGAGGAGGGCGCCCCACGGGGGCCTCGTCGGGGCCCCTGCTGGCTCCAGAGGGCGCCCGAAGGGGCCCCCCCGGGGCCCATCCCTTCACCCCCCCAGTTGTCGAGCAGGGGATCGACCACAGAACTGATTTACCCCCAGGTCGATTTTCTCGTCGGGTCCATGAGAAATGCGTAGAACGTTCGTCGATCTACAAGCATCCTACGTATGACTCGACGAGAAAATCAATTTTTGGGGGTCAATCAATTCTGTAGACGATCCCGTACTCCAAGTTGGGTCACCACCCGGTGCCAACCCGCCCGAGCAGGGCGACCTCGTGGAGGCCCTGTTCGGCGGAGGGCGCTTCGTCCGGCAGGCGGCCCCGCGCAGCTCGGGCGGCGCGGGCGGCCCCGCGAGGAGCACGCCCGCGCGCAGCCCGCGGCGCAGCGCCCCCTACTGAGGCAGGGGCGCGGGCGGCCGGGCGCGCAGCGCCAGACTGCCTCGCGGGCGACGCCCCTCGTCGTCGTCGTCGTCGTCGTCGTCGTCGTCGTCGTCGTCGTCGTCGTCGTCGTCGTCGTCGTCGTCGTCGTCGTCGTCGTCGTCGTCGTCGTCGACCTCGGGAAGTCTGGCCCGCCACCGCAAAGCTGACCTCGCGGCGCCGCGCCTCTCACCTGTACACAAGGCGTCCCCTGGCGGTCTCTGAATCGGGGCAGGAATTCAGAGAGAAAATGGTGCTGGCGTGGTCGTGGCCCCCCGGGGCGCGCAGCCCTCGACTCAGCGACTCGTCGCTTCCCGCTTTGTGCCACTGCCCGTCGTCTCGCTGGCATCCCTCGTCGGAGCCCCCTCGCCCAGAGGGCGACGAGATCTGCACGAACCCACTGCCCCAGCCCCAAGCCCAGCCCGCCCTGGACCCAGCAGCGTTGCGTGCCGCGCTTGGGCCCAGGACTGGCCATGCCTGGGGCAGTGGGTATGCATAGATCTCGCTGCCCTGACCCGTTCCCCGCCCTCTCTGCGCACTCGCGCTCTGCCTCCAGGCACACCGCCCCGTTCGCCCAGTTCCTCCTCGTCCTCATCTTCCGCTGCGCTCGTCGTCGTGCTCCGCCTCCTCGCCTACCAGCCCATCTCCCCACACCGCCATCCGCGCCCCTGCTTCATGTCACTGGCTGCCCCCGAGATCCGACGTCGATAGACAGGTCGCGGCGTCGGAATATAAAACGCGACGGCTCTCGACCCCGTCTTCGTGCGCTGCTGCCTGGGCCAGGCCGGCCCGCGGGAGGCAGCGGGGCCCAAGAGTTGTGCGACGCCCGTTGTTGTGGCCGTCCCACGACGCTTGGATCTGGAGGCCCTCCGGAGGCTTCGGGAGAGCCCCTGGAGGCCCCCCCGGTAGGGCTTCGGGCTGCGCACAGACAGTCCTCTCCCCCAAAGCAGTCCCAGTTGGCCTCAACAGGCCCCCCGAAGCATCTCCAGACATGATCGCGTCGTAAGAAGATCATCTGGACGCCCGAAATGGGTACTGAAAGAATGGGTACTATGCCCAACAGCGGATCTTGTTCATTTTGAACCAGATCCGCTGTCCACGCCGCCGCGGCCTGTGTCCATTCGAGACAGGAGGCCGCCCGCCCAACAGCGGCCGCTGTTGGCTTGGGACAACATTTGTTGTTGGGCATGTTGCCCATTCTTTCGGTACCCACTTCGGGTGTCCAAAGATCAGGACGGGAGGTTTTTGACTAGTTTCGGCCCCAGGGGGGGCCCTGTCCAGGCCTCGGGACCGTCAAAAAGCGACGCAGGACGAAAAACCGATCCCGGGGAAAGGGTGGGGACTTCCAGGGGCGCCGCCTTTTGACGAAACCAGGACGTCGCATGTCTGGGTCTGGGACGGCCGGGCCGCCCCCGCGCCGCGCTGCGTCCAGCTGGGACCACTCGGGAGGCCGGCTGAGGCCAGCCAGGACTTCCTGGGGGGGGGGCCGTCTGCGCGCAGCCCGAAGCCTCGCCACGTCCTGAGGTCGCCGCGGAGGCCTCCAGAAGCCTCCCAGGGGGCCCACCCAGGCCGAGAGCGCTTGAAAGCCTCGACCTTGTCCGCTCGTCGATCCTTCTCCATGCTGTGGGTCGCCCGTGTGACTGCCAGACGACTGGCAGTGCGACGACTGGTTCGGCGCGCGGTGGCGTCGGTGTCTTGGGTGCCACTTCGTGTCTCGGTGGCGCCACCCGCCTCTGCCCAGCTACGCATCGGAAGTCCTCAGCCACTACAGCTCCAGACATGCGACGTCCTGGTTTTTTCAGTCCGGGTTCCCTGGAAGTCCCCGACCTTTCCCTGGGACTGGTTTCTCATCCCGAGCCGTGTTCTGACGATCCCGAGGCCCAGCGTAGCCCCCCGAGGCCGAAAATGGGCAAAAGCCTCCCGTCCTGATTTTTTTACGACGCGACTATGTCTGGGACTGCCCGGATCACCCCCGCTGGGGCGCGAAGAACAGTGCTCCGCGCGCCGCGGCCAGGCTGGCCTGCTCGCCAGGGGGGGCGGCGCGAGGGGCCGCAAGACGGAGCCGCGCGCCTCGCGGGGCGCGAGGGCGCGAGGGCGCGAAGTTGGGACGACCTGGATCCTCACGCCCTGCAAGAGCGATCCTCCCCCAGACATGATCGCGTCGTGGACAAATCAGGAGGGGAGGTTTTTGCCCATCTTCGGCCTCGGGGGGCCCTCTCCCAGCCCCGGGACCGTCAGAGAACGGCTCAGGATGCGAAGCCGGTCTTGGGGAACGGGTCGGGACGTCCAGGGGCCCCGCATGAGAAAAAGTAGGACGTCGCATGTCCGGGCCTCGACCCCCTTTGATCCATCGGGCTCACCCTGGCGCAGCCGGTGCGATCCGACCTCGAGCCCTCTGCCGACGCGGCCCGATCCCACGCGCGCACTCCGCTGCGGTCCGACCTCCCGACTCTCGCTGCCGGCCGCTCCTGCGCGCGGGAGCGCGAAGGCAATCGCGCTGCGAGCGGGCCGCCGCCCCTCCCCCCGAGGGGGGGGACGGCGCGAGGGCGCGAGGGGCGCGAGGGGCCAGCGCCGCGCGCCCCGCAGGGCACGGTGCCCGAGCTCACAGGGGGCCAGCAGGGAGCGATGGGTCGGGGGGAAGGGGGGCAAGATGGGGGGGGGGGGGCAAGCTCGAGGAGGGGGAGGGGGCGCTATCGAATCATATGTGTTGCTTTTCGTTGGCTGGCGTTATTTGTTCGTTTGTTTCCTGAGGTGGGTGGCTTCCCCTTCCCGTCGGGCCTCGGCCCGGGGCTCCCGCTCGGCGGGCCCGCGCCCTTGCCCGCCTGGGCGAATCGATGGCCCTGCAGGGGAAGGGGCGGGGCAGCATCACCACAGATCGGGGGGGGGGGGGGCGGAGAGAGGGGGGGGGGCAGCATCGAGGATCGAGGCTCGTTCCTCCTCGACCCTCGGTCCTCCTTCGAGGGATCAGCCCAGACATGCGATGTCGTGTTTTCCCAATACCAGAGAATTTGGGACCAGAGAATTCTTTTTGGGACCAAAAGAAATTTTGGGGGGGGGCCTTTTCCCCGGGCCTGTTTTTTTCATCCCAAGTCGTTGTTGTTACGGTCCCAGGGCCCTGCGAGGGGCCCAAAAAGCCGAACACGGCAGAAGAATCCCGTCCTGATGTTTGTTCACGACGCCATCACGTCCGGGAAGGGTCCTCGTCGATCCTGACGACCCCCCCTCGATCTTCGATCCTCGACCCCTCGGGATCGATCCTCCTCGATCGCCGACCCTCCTCGAAGGATCGAGGCTCCTCTTCGATCCTCGATCCGCCTCGATCTTCTTCGATGGATCGAGGATCCTGGATCCTCTTCGACCCTCGATCATCCTAGCTCCTCGACCCTCGATTCTCCCCGATCCAGGGGCCTTCTCGATCCTCGACCCTCCTCGACCCTCGATCCTCCTCGAGGGATCGAGGATCCTCTTCCTCGCTCTCATCGATCTTCCTCGATCCTCCTCGACCCTCGACCCTCCTCGAGGGATCGAGGATCCCCTTCCTCGCTCTCATCGACCTTCCTCGATCCTCCTAGACCCTCGACCCTCCTCCTCGACCCTCGATCCTCCTCGGCCCCCCCACCGCAGGCCCAGCGCACCTGCGCGGCGGTGGTGCGTCTCGCCCACGACTGGGGCCTGCGGGACGCGGGCCCCCTGCAGCAGCGCCTCGCGGCCAGGAGCCCCATTTCGCCCGTGGCGCCTCTCCTTCGCGGAGCTGCGCCTCGCTGCAAAATTGACGCCGGCACTCGCGGAAGATGGTCCAAGAAATTTCTCCACCTCCTCCTCCTCCTCCTTCTCCTCCTCCTCCTCCTCCTCCTCCTCCTCCTCCCCCACCACCCTCCTCCTCTTCCAACTCCTCCTCCTCCTCCTCCTCCTCCTCCTCCTCCTCCTCCTCCCCCTCCTCCTCCTCTACCTCCTCCTCTTCCTCCTCCTCCTCCTCATCATCATCCCCCTTCTCCTCCTCCGTCCTCTCTCCTCCCTTCCCCTCCTATCCAGAGATCCGACGCTCCAAGAAAAATTGGAGCGGGCGGTTTTTGTCCGTTTTCGGCCTCTGAGGGCCCTCGTCGAGCCTCGGGAGCGTCAAACAACAGCTCAGGAGGAAAAAGCGGTCCTGGGGAGGTGGTCCGGACATCCGAGGCCCACGAATCGGAAAAATTGGAGCAGCCGGATGTCTGGGTCTGCAGAAGCAGCCAGGTGGCGCTCGGCCACGACGACGTTCGCACAGACGCTGCA